AGGGAGAAAGTCTTTAACTTAGGATTTTGAAAATCTGGTTATGTAGCGCTTAAAATTAACCTGGAAGGGCAAGACAGAAAAGTTAGACAGCCCCCTCATTTTGGCCTGAAAGAGCAGGATTCCTAGAGCCAGAGAGGTCTGAATGAATGCAGCTGGCAGTCAGAAGTCAGAGCTGCCCTGGCTTCCTTTCTTCTTGTAGAAAGCTTCCATTAGTAGTGAGCAGAACTGCCTGCTGGGGAGAGGGCAGAAATCTAGAGGAACTATCCACTGGCACAGATAGCTGGGCGAGACCCAAAATTCACGTTGGAAATCCATACAAATACCAGAAGAACAAGCTTACCTACAGTTCTGCACCCCAGACAGGCTTTACCCACTGGCTCAACTGCTTCAGCAGGAGACACAGATCTCCTCCAGCTGGGAGGAACACCGGTGCCCAGGGAGGTGTAGTTGGGGCTAAACACAGACCTGGCCCGGCTCCATGATCTCTCTCACCCGGAACCCTCCCACCTCTGTAAGCATTCAGGGGCCAATTCTGACTCAGCTGGGCGATTCTCCAATTACTTTGTCCTAACATTTCAACACAAGGAGCTGCTCAGGGAGCTGCAGCAGGACGAGGTAAAAATAAGACCTCCAAAGCTTTTGTTTTGTTAGATCATTTTTGACCCCAAACTGCAAAGATTGATCATCATATCTTATTGACTGATACAGAAATAACAAACCCTTCATGCTGTCTTCAGATTACACGTACAAGGGAATATCCAAGAGTGCTCTACTCTGAAGCAGCATGTCAGAGCACAGCAAAGATTTAATCTCACCCTAAATCACTCCTGTCCACTGAGACTGAGCAGGAAATAACGAATACAAAGCATTTGCATCCTGTTAGACACTCCCGTGCGGGGTCTGATTAGTTAAGGTCAAACACCAGTGTAAATCTTTCATTCCCCTGCAACAAAGTAAGTAGCTATGTTTCACAGCCTACCAGTTTCCTCTTCCTCCCGATTGCCGTGAACCTCCACTAACATTTATGACATTCCTCCTTTTTCAATGCTCATGTCCCGACTGAAAGATCGGAGAGCAGTTAGCTGCATAACAGTGCTATTACATTTTTGTAACACACCATTTCCTATGGATAGATTGCAAAGTGTCTAACAAAAAACCCATTCAGGAACGAGATGGGGAGTTACTCAAGGTCACCCAGCAAACAAGCAGAAGAGCCAGTGAAGGCGATACCTCTCCCAAGGCCCAGCAAAAAGGGCATTGTCTTTGGTGGAAGATCAGCAGTGGCACTAGATGAAACCACAGCATTTTGAGGGAATTGCAAAGGTACAGATGTTCAAAAGCAGTCTCTTTACTGCATGTTGAACGCTGTAATGTTCATGTTTGCCTAAATCCTTCTTGCTGAACAGTCATCCAAAGAAATGAATGCCTTCATTTTTGCAGGCTGCAGAATAATTTTATATATTTACCTCTTAGGCTCTTCTGGAATTCATAAATCACACTTAATGAGAAGTATTAGCACACGCTTACTGCAATTAAGTGATGAATGTTTGATTTCTGGCTTACAGCCTGAAAACTACATAGATTTCTGTGATCTCCAGAAAGGTAAAGATGAAACTCCAGGTTTTAATTAGGGGCTAATAGCTTTAGTTCACTGCAATGTGAAGGCCTTTGATTTTTTAAAAGGTTTCCAACCCAGCTGAAAGTCTGCTATTCAATTAGTCTGGAATTATACATCAGCTGGCCAAGCAACGACAGCCTTTCTAAGAAGCTATTGCTTTCTCCCTAAACCTTTTAATCCGGGGAAAGCAATGTGTTCCTTTCACATCGTCTGGTCGCACTGGTGCTGCTAAACTGCCAGTGGAGACTCAGCTCAGCAGGTCCTACCCCTGTAGCTGCGCAGGATTAGACCCTCGAGTCTGCCCCTATTTCACTAGTGAGCACTACTGGGACTGCTGCAACACCGTGAGCAAAAAATGGAAGAACTGAATTTCTGCATGAATCTGCATATTTTTTAACAGAAATATTAAGATCGGCATAAAACCTGAATGACTGGGAATATGTGTATGTGAAAGCACCAGAATGACAACTGAAAGAGAGGCCTATACGGACAGCGAGGGATGCCACTCCATCACATGGAGGAACGCATTGCCGCTGGCGAGTCCCGGAGGCCCCACACGGGTGAGACCACAGCACAGACACCTCTCGAAAAGAAGACCCTGCGCCAACAGCGGGCCAGTGGCAGAGGTTGCAACAAATCACAGACACCATTCCTCCTTCAGACACCCTGGTGGACTAACAGGAAGGCAACAGAATATAAAAGATATCCTGAAGGATATAAAGGATCTGTCCAGAAACTTACTTCATTATTGGCAATCAAGAAGAGCCCAGGAGATGAAGCGAGGATTTGACTCGTCCTCCATGTTGTGCACAAGCAAACCTGGTCAGAGCATTTGAGCAGGTACATCACAAGAGTATGGCTGTGTAAATCAGTTTGTGTAGTGACTTTGAATAATACAACCCTCTTCCCCTTCCATAAGATGTTTCAGTGAGTTTTGTAACACCAGTTCCCTATAAGCCAACCAAACGGGAGACAAGGCATGCTAATCTCTGTCGGGTTGCAATCGCCAAGTCGCTGTCATCTGAACGAACGAAACATGGACACTCTGAGTCTCAGTAGCTTTATGCTATGTGTGCTAGACAGAAATTAACTTCACAAGAAGAGCCATCCTGGCCCAACTAAGCGCTTTGCAACACAAGCTTTCCTCCCTAAAGAAGCAGGTGGCTGCAGCCTTTCCACCCTACCTGTATTCCATGCACTGAAGCACGTATGGCAGGAGCTATAAATCGTGAACTATGAGAGGGGAAAGCAGTTCCACCCGAGCACAGTGGCCTATGCTCAGGCTACGGTGGAGCGTACAACACATCGCAGCGCTGGCATCATCTCAGACAACATGGTGGGAAATAATCAAATAATAAAACCAAACTGCTGGCTGTATCACACCCCACTGTCACCATCAGCCAGCAGTCGTCACCTCGCACAACCCTCCATCGCCATCGGGTGTTGCCATCACCACCTCACACAAAAGCAGCTGAATGGAGAAGCTGGGTGGCTGCCCAAAGCCATTCAGCAAACCATTGCTGCAGGAGATCAGTCGGCTCCGCAAATGTCCCCGAGTCGGGCACCAGAGCACCTCTCCGAAGCACCCTGCTCCCCGGTGCCGCGCAGGGGGCCCGCAGCCCGCAGGCCAGCCCCAGCCGCCGGCCTCCCCTGGCAAGCAAGCACCCCTCCGCAGAGGCACGCGCCCCTGCTCCGAACCCACCGAGCCCTCCGGGCGGTGGGGACCGTCTCTACCCTTCCCAGCAAACTCCTCCATCGGAGCGGGCGTGCAGCCCTGGAAGGAGGGGGCTGTCCTTAGAAAAACTGCCCACGTAATGCTAATCCATGTTACTTTCCACACTGCGGTAAGAGGTGAGAGCTGATGTGACCAGGGCCACGCGAACAGGCTTGAGCCAAGAGCCACCAGACCCTCCTTCGGGGGAGCATGTACTTACTCTGCAGAACCTCAGCTCCGAGGTTCGAAGCAGCTCTCGGCCTGCTCACCTTTTGGGCAGATTACCTCTGCTGGCGAGGTTCTCGCTGCCTGCTGTAAACTCAGCATTAGTCAGTTAACGGGATCTCAGGATTGTTCTGCTTTTACAGTTCTTTGTGCACTCTATCGTCAGTGGGTCAATACAGGGAATCCTCTTACACAGCAGGATCTCACCAAAACCCTGTAAAACCTCCAGTTAATGAGAACGATAGCAACTAAACAGTATCACAGGCACCGCGGTGTGCCACCATGGTGCACCACCCTAGCACCCTGCTCCCTACCCTTTCAAGGTCTCCACTGCAGTTCTCATGCTCCTCCAGCGGACCAAGCCTGGGAGCCCCTGCAACGCCACTGGGAACGGGACCTTTAGGAAGCCTGCACTGTGACAGTGACTAGCAAAAGACAGAATTTTCACAGCCAAATACTCCTCAGTCCTGCAGGGTCTGTGTCAGCAGCAGTTACACATGGGTCAGTCGTACGTGAGAAGTGAGAGCCACTCCAAAGGCTGCACAGGCAGAGCTGCTACAGATGCAGGCTTGAAGGTGATACAGCTGAACAAGGAAATGCAAGCTCCCGAAAAACCAGCAAATATTCTTCACAGCCTTGCCAATTCACCTGTGGTCAATCAGTCTCTGCAAACTGGCTGCTGCTCAGCTCACAAAATCCACTTCTCCTTCAGTAATCATAGGGTGAAACTGCCCTCCTCTGCCTGATTGTGTATATTGTCTCTGTAATTAAATGTCACATGCAGCTGCAGTAAATATTTGTGCAGTCATAGCTCACATATGATAACAACAAAAAACAACTTCATCAGGGAATGTATATGAATTCTAGTCTAGTCTGTAGCCAGGCTGATATTTGTAATCTAATACAAATTTATTAAAGCCAGGAATTTAACACACTAAGTGCAAAAAAAAGAAGTTACCCCTGCTTTTAATGGAAAAAGATAACTGTGTTATCCATATACTGAGGCAGGCTTGATAGAATGAATTTAAGAAACTGGTTGCCACTAGTTTGCACATCTCAATTACTTGTCTATGTTTGAGTTCAGGAATTTTTTTTAAAGATATTCCCTCTCTTTGCTAACATCACATTTTACAATCATGCTTGATTTCTATTTTTAAATTAGCTTAAAAAAAAGTGACATAGAAAAAAAAAGAATTTTTAACTAAAATTACAACACCTGCTAGTGAAAATCTAGCTTGATTCTGTCACATCTACAACTATATCAGGTTAATAACCAGCATCATAGATGGTTTCTTTATATAAATATGTACAACTCCCCATAGTGATTCCTTCAGCTGCTTCCCAAAACTGCTGGCACTGCATTACCTCATTTTTGCTATGATGAAGAATCACAATTGTTAGAGTAAATTTCATTACACTGTAAAAAGCCTGCTCTGGAAAGATTTACTTTCCATACTGTACACTTGCACCTAGCTGTTTGGAGAGGTAATTTATCAGCATTGCTGTCAGCTTCTCCTGGAGACCAGCACTTCCCATGACCAAAGCAGTCAGCTGAACAGCATCAGTCCAGTCTAACTGCCTGAGAATATGAATGGCTTCATCACAGAGCTTCTGCTGCTCGGCAGGAGGCAATTCCAATAAAATCTGAGGGACCGGCTTGAACTGTCCAGCAGACATCCAGGCACCGAGCAATCCACCAAATGCTCCTCCTAGAACGGAGAGAGAGGTTACTCTTTACCAGTTAACGCTAGACACCTGAAATTCTATCCACAGCCTTCATCAATAATGCTCCCACCTGTTTTGGAAATCAATGCAGAGTTCCTGTGTGTCTACTTCAACTAGATTTCTACAGGATGTTCAAAGCACCAAGAAGGATTTTTAAAGCTTTCTATATCCACAGCAATCAATCGCAAAGGAACACAAGGAATCAGAAACAAAACAACACTCCTTAGGGCACTGGTCTCTAGGACAAGCTTTACTACTAAATAAATCCATGCCCCAGGAAAACAGCCGACCAACAATTGCCTTATCAGTGCCACTAACACATAATTAATCTTATTAGAACTTCCCAGAACCATCCAAGCTTTCTGCTTCCATAGAGCTGCACATTGCAGCCTGCCACTGCCATGAAGTCCATCCCTCGGAAGGTGCTCACAGAGAGCAAACCCACCAGCTTCCTGGGGTCAGACACCGTCACGCTTTCCCCTACCAAGCCAACACCCCACTGCCTGCCCCAGCCGGTCAGCAAACACTCCACCAAGCAGAGAGGTTCCAGGCCATCAGCAGAGCAGCAGAGGGGTCCCCTACAGCTGACATAACTGCGGCTGCTGCTGAGAAACCAGCGCTGCACTCCTGCACGGTTGTTCTCCTGCAGAGAGTTACCGGTCTAACTTGTAGGCAGTGCTTTTCCACAGAAATCCACACAAGCCACTGCTGCCCAGCGACACAGACGGCCTGGTGGAAGGAAGGACGGAAAGAAGGACAGAAGGAGAATCCTTACAACCACGGGGTGTCAGAACTGACTCTGCCTCTCTGCCTCCAAAATTCCTAGCCCCATCGACTGCTCGTAAAGAAGCCATTTACGCACTCACAGGGATGCAGTTTTTCATTATGAACACTTAAACAAACACTTCAACAAAATGAGAAAATACACCCAAGAACAACTACAGTGTTTCTCATCATCTCACTCAAGAATGAGGTCACTTACACTCTTAAATTTGCTTCTGAACTACAGATTACAAATTTCTTCCAAAAGCTTAGTTTCGCTTCTTTGTTCCGAGTAACCTCAGTCATATGTTTGTCAAAATATTACTTGTGGCTATTAATTAAGCTCTGTGTTTGTAACAGGAGTACATACACAGCTTCCTTTTGCTTTTTCTCTTATCAGTATATTATCTGGTTATTTTTTGTATCTCAACCTTGCTAACCCTTCACGCAGCCATACTGCAATTTACTCCAACACCAACAAGCCAGGAAATTGCTGGAACTGCTCGCACGAGTAAGGACCAAGGCCCACACGGCTTCAGGAACACCAACGCGTGCCTTCCTGACGCACACCTCATTTCTAAAAGCCAACACAGAAAACGGCATCTTGTTAAAACCCGGTTACCTCACATCTCAGTGCTGCGCACCCCGCTCCTTCAACCCTTCAACCTACTACACACACTTACCAGTTTCTTCACTCAAGGACTTAACCACACTTCTTCTTCCTCAAGCAAAACACGCTTACCTACAGCGATTCCAGGTGGACCTCCCATCAGACCCCCAACAAATGCTGTTGCACCAGCCAGCAGTGCTCCTTGACCAGAATGTCTGACAGCAGCTTTCATCCCCTTCTTCTGAGCGAGTTGGCACAAGAGCTGTATCACATCGTCAACACTGATGGGCATCGTGGCGAGTTAAGATCCTGGAAAAGATGTTTGAAGTTATCCTTTGATAGCTGCAACAGGAACTAAAGCTTGCTGCTGCTGAACTGTAGAAAGAAACAAGAGTTCAGGAGTCCGTGACACTAAAAGGACAGAGGCAGAGCCAATACAAGGAAAAGAGGAAAACTACTTCCTCTTTCATTTCTGGGAAAAGCAAACCTGTTTCCAAACAGCTAACCGTTACTGAAACTGCAAAGACAAAGCAGAGCCTCCCGCCACCGTAACCAGCAGGTTACAACTGACGAACCTGCCAGGTATTTTCTCCTTGTCCTACGTCTTGCCACAAATTAGTTGTTTGTTTTCGCACATCAGTTCTTTTCCCCATTTTGTTACGTGCTTAAACACTTGCAGGCTGGTCTCAAAGTGGGGGCTGACTACAGCAACCAAGCAGAGCCTGAGGAAGGGAACAGATTTCAGAAGGAGTCAGAGGAGAGAGCTGGCATCAGGAATAAGCAGGAGGCTCTGGAGACCGGGCATCGGAAACACAGTGGGGGGTGTACAGCGGTCGGGGCCCAGAGCAGACTCCTGAGACGACTCTCCTTCGTACGAGGCGGCAGAGAGACGGGACTTCAGCACCCTTTCAAACTAATACAGGGCAACATTTTGGAATCTCTGCATATTAAATATTCTTTTCCCAACACTGCTTGCCCTGTCACAGCAGGCAAATCAGGAGGCATTAGAGTAGCACACACACCTCTCAGGTGCCAGGAAGGGTACTGAGCAAGGAAACAGGCGGCATGAAAAGACAGTACCGCTTCTCCGCTTTAAAAAAATACAAGAGTCTCCCCAAAGAAAAAGATTTTACCTCTTCTTTTGCACTTAATGTTTGCTTGCTGTTAAGCCAGTTGCTTGAATCAAACTTCTCAGAACTGGCTACTCCGCTCTCACTTTTCCTCCCACCCACCCCGCAATCTCAGAGAGATACTTGCAAAAACACTGGCCCCTTAAAGTAACAACTGAATTCAAACGCAGCTCTGCTTCAGTACAGTGTTACACAATGCCAACCACTGAAAAATCCATCTTTGCCTTTCAGTTTGGCAACGCAGGTGGATACTTTTGACTTTAACAACTATTTTAACAATAGAGGAACCCAGATACCGAAAATATCCTCATTTCACATTGCAAAAATAGGTGCAATACTAATGAAAGTCTCTGATCCTGACCAGTGAGATCAGAGGGAAACCCATAAAGTGAAATTAAGAAACGCCATCCCCATAGCAGGGTTGGAGGAGCGTTCAGTAAATCAGGCCCGAGGACTTTGCACTGAACAGTAAGAAAAAGCTTGCTCATAAGCAAATACTTTCCATTCTGCACACCAGCTGAGGAAAGGGCGTGCGGGGGGGTGGGGGGAGACATTATTGAATAGAATTAAAAATCTAATCACATATACAGAGAAGACAGATTTATTGTTGTACCTGTAACATTAGCCCTGTTGAACAGATGAACGTTGGCTTTTCCAGCCTCTAGAACCCTTTTGTCCCAGTGCGTGTGCAGTACTTTCTCAGCCCAAGACAAGTTGTCTTCAAGTCTTTCTTGAATAGATCTCCTCAGTGCAAAGCAAGAGTGGAGTGGTATCACATCATCTTTCACATTAAAAAAATCACTGTTGTGAGGGTGGAAGCTTTCTTTTGCCCCAAAATGGCTGACTCCATCTGTGTCACTGCCGCGTGCAAGCACTGCTGACACTGAACAAAAACCTGTTTTTTGAGAAGGGGCCACATATGCTCCAGAGCTGCAGAGAGGCACAGTAGGAAATTCATCGCATACTTGCATTTCTCTCACTACTTCATTCATCTTCATGCCAGTCTAAGGAAAACATGAAAATTCTTCATTTGACCACTGTTGCTGCTGGGTTTTGGCAGGCTTAGGACAGCGGTGGCTCAGAACGGCAGCGCATGCTGGTTAGGGAGGGCAGAGTGGCACACGCTGCTTCCAGAGTTATAGGTGATCTCACTCAGCGTGGTTCAAGCTCAAAGCAATACACACATGGCTGCTCTGTTCGTCCCAGAGCAGCAGGAAAGAAAACCCAAAATACACAATGGGTGCAGCTCACACTGCCAAGCCCGGGAATGTTGGAAAATGAGAAGATTAAGTATTTGTTTTTGCCTTCTCAACAAAACTTGAGCAGATTGCCACTCAGAGTAACACTCACACCGGCACCGAGAAGCCTCATTCAGTTCATCCCCTCAATGAGATGGGAACTGATTTGTGCTTGCCCTGCACCTCCTTGGTATGACCTCACACTAACCCTGAGTACCGAAGTGAATTTTCTTCTTCTCTTTGAGCTAAATTCAGCGACCGTCTCGTGCAAAGCTCTTCAGTACGAAGGCGCTGCGGCACGGATGGGACGTCACGAGCTGCAGGGCTGATGACACAACACGGCTCTCTCTGAGAGTAACATGATCATCTCTGAGAGTAACATGATCAGCTTTCCCCAGACCAAACGGGCCGACTTCCACAATTTCCTAAACCAATCTAAGATACATGAAACGATGTTGGTGAGCAAGCAAACCCAAAGCTGCAGCAGCAGGTTCCTGCTGTGCCTACAAGCCGGCCGTCCCCAGACAGGCGCCCGCAGTACTCCACCCGACCGCCCTGCCCACACCAGGCAGCTCCCTTGCGCCGACGCGGCCCCTCGGGCAGTGCAAAGGTGATCAGCCACTCTGGGGATTCTCTGAATAAATAAAACTCGCTTTCACAACTAGATTCAAAGTGCAGTTGGCTTAAGAGGGACAGAACCCAGACCACAAAGCAAGCAGGAATCACACTGCTATCTGCTGGCGTGCAAAGCTGTGGCGAACACACGAGTTCGTAGTCACGCATTAGTTCCAAGACGAAGCTAACCCAAACCCAAACTCAAGCAACTGTAAGCATTTTTCCATAGCAAATTATTCTACTGCTTTACTCCCCTCACAACTTCCCCAAAGGGAATTTCCACTTGCAAAATTAACACTTCCTTGGGGTTTTTCCACTTGATTGAAGAAGATCCTTGGCACAGCTGAGCCGTTCCTGCTTAATTCCAAATGTGAGCGTCACACTCAAAATTCTCAAAGACACCACAAGGCGCCCTCATTTTCTCTCAACTCGTAGAAGTATTTCCATGGCCTCTTAGCATATTCACTGCATTTTAAGTCCAGTAGTGAACTCTAGTGAATGCCATAGGTGATGCACAGCACATACAAGGTTGGGGCTTTTTAAACTCTACCTACAGAGCACTAGTGGGAGCCACTAAAACACAAACCACGTACTGCAACACACACACAAAGCAATCCCACAGATTCCTACATTCAGCGCAAAGGCACAGATGAGTGGACCAGCATTGCAGAGATCTTCTACAAAGTCACACCATTATGAATTTCTTTGAACATTTCAGGTTCCGAGGAAGAATCAAGGTGCTCAACCACGCAACTTTCAGTGAGCACCTGTTTTTTAGCCATACCCAACATCTAGAAACCTCACCACACACAGAGAGGCAAATCCTCATTTTAGGCAAATGAAATTATCACAGTAGTTTCCCTTGGTTTCAAACACAAAAGAGGGCACACCGGTATATTTTTCTACTTAGGAACTTGTCTTACAAGTGCCTTGAAACAAATGGCAAACACACGGCTGGGATATTCGGCAGCCTTGCACGTGGAGCTCACAGTGTTCGCCGCAGCAGGCAGGTCATCCCACGCCACCACTACTGCTGCCAGCCGCTGGCTGACCAGTACAGGGCTGCCTTCTTCCTCGAATTTCAGTACCCAGTTCTTAAAGAGTTCGTTTACTTTAAAGCAAAACACAGGCCACTACCATGCTCCTTATGAATATTTTAATGCAAACAGAGGACCAGCTGTTCAGATTCAGTCAAGAAACCAATGCTGAAATAACAACCCTAATCCTAGGCGTAGTACAAAAATGGCAGATTCAGTTCCTTGCTTCTTCATTTTTTCAGAAGTGTATTCTTGCCATGCCTTCCCATTCGAGGACACCAGCAGCTACTGACTGGGCACAGCTTGTTGACCTGTTGTTTAAAACCTGTTTAGGCATTGGCTTCACTTCTCACAGAAAGGCATAAATAACTCAAGAATTACAATAAAAACGTGACAAAGAATAACGTAAGCACTGAGCTCTTTGAGTTCACAGTAGAGTAACATACTTTCTTATAACGTCCTTTTGCAGGGCTGAAACAGACAGTATGTAAAATTCTTCAAAGTGCCCTAGGTACTTTGGCACCTATATGTCACCCACGGAAGAAAATTAAAGCACTTACACAAACAGGATTACATCTCCTAATAAAACACGATGACTTTGCAAATTTTAACTAGTGATACATTAGCGTAAGAGAAACATAATTCCCTTCAGTGATTCTGAATTCAGTTCTAGGGCAGGGTAAGTTAAAATTACATAGCAAGTCAGCGTCAGAATAACGCAGTAATCTAATGCTGCCCTTACAAAACAAAACCCCTGAAACCCCCAAACCGTACTTCGATCTGCCAACCTTCATAATTAGCACCAATAACTAATAATTGCTATGTTGAAGAATCACAATTGTTAGAGTAAAATTTATTACACTGTAAAAAGCCTGCTCTGGAAAGGTTTATTCTCCATACTGTATGTTTGCACTTAGCTCTTTAGAGAGGTAATTTATCAGCATTGCTGTCAGCTTCTCCTGGAGACCAGCACTTCCCATGACCAAAGCAGTCAGCTGAACAGCATCAGTCCAGTCTAACTGCCTGAGAATATGAATGGCTTCATCACAGAGCTTCTGCTGCTCGGCAGGAGGCAATTCCAATAAAATCTGAGGGACCGGCTTGAACTGTCCAGCAGACATCCAGGCACCGAGCAATCCACCAAATGCTCCTCCTAGGAAGAAGAGAGAGAGGTTACTCTTTACCAGTTAATGTTAAGACACTGGCGCGCTTTCCCCTACCCAGCCAACACCCCACCACCTGCCCCAGCCGGTCAGCAAACACTCCACCAAG